CTGCCACTCATGTCAGCTAAGAACAAGAAACTGAGGCTAAAATTCACATGGGCTCAACAAAATTGCCCGACTGAAAAGACTTTGCTTGATCTGCTGACTTGCGATTTGGATGGTAGGGCCAGATTTTTCATGTAAACAACATGAAAGGAGGGATCCATTCTGCCTTGTATCAATAGTTAAGGCTGGTGATGATTGTATAATGGTGTGGGTGATATTTTCTTGGCACAGTGAGTATTATTTAAACTCAACAGCGTCTGTAAGTATTGTTGCTCACCATGTCCATCGCTGCATCACCACAGTGTATTCATCTTCTGATGACTGCTTCCAGCAGGATAACACACCATGTCACAAAGCTTAAACTTAAAGTGTCCCAACTGTTTTGGAAACAGTGTTGAATTTACTAGTATCAGTAATTAATAACCATATGTTAAATATTGGCATTAATAGGATTATTTTTAAACTATCATTTCAACTTGGTGCTTTTTTAAACAAAGAGACGATGCTTGGTTAACAGGCAGAATTTAGACGTTTACTTGAGAAAGCCAGTGAAAAAAACTGTGTTACTGCAGCTTGAGGCACAAACAACAAATGCTGCTGAGGACAAAGAGAAAGTTAAAAAGTTCAAGAATATACGCAGGACACTTGGGCATGTTTTTATCGCAGAGAGCGAACTTCATCTGCAGGTCACTTCAATATTTTATATAAACAGATCTGTTCATGGCACCACAGGGTTTTTTGGATATACTGTATGTTGCAGGTGTCTGTGCAGTATAATATATGAATGCATCAGTGAGGAACGAGAAAAGCAGTTCAGCAGGTGTAGTCGGTGCTTATGTTTGGAAACACAGGTTCGACTGGTGGAGGTTAAGAAAACATTTTAAAAAGAGGGTGCAGCCAATTCTGCTAAAACCATAACGCAAACAGTTAAAGATCAGGAAAGATAAATATGTGCACACAATCAAACAGGCAGCATGTGTAGTTTTCTTATTATAGGTCACAACTCGCTTGGTTAGACTCCCAGATTGCTAAAGCAATGACACAACTGTCACATCCTCTATCACAGTAGCTGCAGGCACACGTTTATTTTATACAATCATACAAAGCCGGTACTTATTTGAGGCCAAAATGAAATACATAACCCATTCAAATGCAGAATAAATGAACATCTGGTGGTGAGTAAGCACTATAAAATGTAACAATGTGGAGCATTATATCTAAATTATAGGGTCTTTCATAGCTCAGACTGGTCTCTGATAGAGAAGAGTAAATTGGTAAACCACTCACAACTTCACAACTTCCACCAGGAAAGGATTTCATTAGGAAGTATCAGTTTTGTCAAAAAAAGATGTGATCCAGAAGTATTTAATTCAATTCAATTCAATTTTATTTATATAGCGCCAAATCACAACAAAAGTCGCCTCAAGGCGCTTCATAGATACAGAGAAAAA